GGCCCGCTAAGGGACCGGGCCGGTCCCGGGCCCTGGCGGACCAAACGATCCCGGGCCTGACGGGCCCAAATCATAGGACCGGCCCACGAGACCGGACCAGGCCCGCTAAAACCGGATCAAACGGTCCCGATCCGTTTAGCCCGTTTGCCCTGCGGTCCCGGGCCTGGACCGGCCCACTTGCCAGCCTTAGCTAAATATGTAAAATATATGTATAATTATATCGGTAGGGCGAGTCCTAGCCCATAATTGATTGAATCCATGACTTGAACATTTTTTCATTTCACGTCAGGTCGTAGAGTGTATAAGATGATTTGTATACCAAATATGGAACTTATTAGCACAAACTAGATGGAGCACTTATTCAACAATGCCATAGGTAGACAAGTTAACTCCTAACCTCGGCGTGAGAAAGTTAATTGTATGCTTTAACATTAAGGAAATGCACTGATCAGTTTTTCCAATTACATAAACAGAAAAGGAAAATGGTAATGCGGAGCAGAGATAAATGGCTTTCGGTCTTTATTTATAGTTGCCAATTTTTTTTTTTAATTAAAAGTGTTTTCTTGCCAAAATCAAAGTGTTTGGTCAAGCTTTTTAAAGGAGAAAAAATGCTTTTGATTAAAAGCAGAAAAAAATAATTTCTCTTCAAAAAAATATATTTTTTTAAAAAGTATTTTTGAGAAATTAATTGTAGATCAAAAGTACTTTTTAAATTAATTAATTAAACATAAATTATTTTTCATCAAAATTACTTTTTAAAAAAGCATTTTTCAAAATATTAAAAGTTTGGCCAAGCTACTGTTATTATTTTAGTTGTGGGGACGATTTCAATTTTATTTTCTTTAGGGGGACCGCAAAACCTCTCTTTCTGACTCTCAGTACATGTCTTGGGCCAATAACTTATAGGGACTGAGGCTGCTGGTCTCCACTAGTCTCACTTTAATTTGCCTACCATTATTTCAATTATAATATGATTATAAATTTTTGTTTACGCTTGTTGTATAGCATATACATATCTCACTCTTTGATAGTTTCGCTTCAGTCTTCTGGGTAATTTAGGTATCTTGCTTCACAAAGTATGATTGATGGCTAGATCTAGAGCAAGAATTTGAAGTTTATTGTTTCTAAATGTGCCACACATTTAGCTCGTCATAGTTATAGGTTCCGCAATTAAATATTTATAGATATTTAATGGATTTTCTATTACAAATATAGGGTATAAGCAAAAAGTATTAAATTTGTCTGAACTCCGCCCCTGTTGACGGAATTAAATTTTATATACATATGGTCATTCAACTTTATTTAATACACCAAAGTTACCGAATTATTTTCTGTAACAAAAAAGTCACTACCTTTGATTAATATTACAAAATGTACTAAATAATCCTTTGTAATAAAAAAAGTTATTCAATTTTGCTCAAATATCACAAAAATAATATTATGTTCACTATGATCGTGTCTGTTTGTCTTTTTTTAGTTTATGCAAAATTAAATGACTTTTTGATTATAAATCTACTACTAAGCGACTTTTTTCATTACAAAAAGTAGTTTAGTAATGAATGACATCCAAAATATTGTCTTATGGTTCATACACCCTCCTGTGTAGTTTCTCAAATTCCAAAACATTACTATCTTCTTCTTTCAGATTACCATTTCAAGTTTAGTGTAAGCACTTTATCTAATCTGACCGATTGTGTAAATAGATTTAGACCATCATAAAAGTTAAGTAAAAAGAAAAAATTAAGAAAAAAGAGAGAAGGAATTAAATATACACGTGGAAGAGAGATTAACTAAATAAGATAGAAGTTCTATATATCAAGTCTCAAGATTGGATTGTAATACCAACCAACCGCCAAAGTTTCGTTACAAGACTCGAATAAAAAAGAAACAGACAACAGATACATAGTAATGGATTCACAAGCAGGATCAAAAACTCGATCCATCTTCTTATTATGATTTCGCTACTTCCAAATTTGTTCGTAGAAAAACTGATCTTTCATCAACCTCACTGGACCCTGCATGGCTGCACATATCGCCAAATATAACCAACATTAATCACGAACGATTATAACTAACGGGTTATTACTCTATTTTTCAAGCTAACATATCAAACTGGTATGAAAACACTATTAGAAATTCGGGCCAAACCGAATTCGGTCTGTCGTTATTTCAAAATATTTTAATTTTCAATTTTTTTTTACGAAACCGATCAATTTCGGTCTTTTTTTGGCGCAAAAATGCGGCAAACTATTTTGGCGTCCCGCAAAATTTATTTTTTAAGAAACCGACCAACTTTGATCGGTTTTTCATATAAAATAAATTAAAACTATTATTCAAAAAACCGACCGAAATTGGTCGGTTATTTCAGTCGGTGATTTTAAAAAACCGACCGACTTCGGTCGGTAATTTTATATTTTTAATAAAACTGACTGAAATCGGTTGGTTATTTTCGCGCGAAAATACAATTAAAGAGTACAAATAAAATAAAAGATAGTCTTAAACCACAGAGGCAGATCTAGGATTTGAAGGTTCCGGGTGCCATATTATTTTATACATAAATGTACTATTATTTATACTGTCCAAATGGGATAAATATTTAGTCGGTTTGATCAAATTTGTGTTTCGGTTCGAGCTATTCATCTTTTCCATTTATATAGATAAATATATCGAACGAAAAAAAATAATGACAACTTAGCACACATCATAAAATTTTCAGCAGTAATACCAATATCATAAAATTTCTTCTACATGAAAAGTACAAAAAGACAACCATTTCTTTCATTTTCTGATAATTGAAAATATCTTCCAATTAACAAAATACTACCATAATAAGTTGGTCACTACAACTAATAAGTAAGACATACATAATTCTTTCATCCTTGGGTAAACAAAAACATACATGAAGATTATTTATTTACAACTGTCCTCGACGAATTTTCATATTTTGAAAACGGTCAATAATAGCATCATTACTTACCTTTTCAAATGCTTCACGTTCTATGTAAAAAAATTAAACAATTATTTAAATATTGATCACCAATGCTATTTCGCACTTCATTTTTTATCTGCTTCATGGATGAAAATACTCTCTCCACATTTGCAGTAGCAACATGTAAATCAAAGTCAACTTCACGAGTAAATAAACAAGTGCATAAGTCTCCACAAGATTTGCTTCAACCAATGCTTTTGCTAAATCTCTAATTCCTTGCAAGTTGGAGAACTTGGGATCATCCCCTCGCATATGAATTTTGAAGGTATCGAGTTGATAACTCAAATCCCGAAGCTGGAATTTATCAAATTCATTTGGATAACATTTTGCCAGTGTCATTATTCTATCCTTATCAAAATTAGCAAAGGAATTAACTGGACTCAAGCTAGCCATCCCAAGAAGCAAATCACTACTTACTACATCAAAACGTTCATTAAGCTCTTGAAGTTGCACATCAATCACAACACAAAAGATTTCAACACGCAAGTGATGTGAGTAACAAACATTAGACTTACGCTTAGACTTTCCAGGAAAGTAAGACTCATCCATCTTCGGAATCAAAATATCATGCCTATCACAAAATGAGGAAACATCATCCAATAGAGATTTCCATCCAGTTTCCCTCATATCTTGCAACCTTTTCTTTGTAATGTCAAGAAACACCACGGCATTAACAATATCTTGATCCTTTTTTTGTAAAATCTTGCTCAATTCATTTGACATGGCCAACACTTTCACCATCAAATGAAGCACGAAAATAAATTTGAATGTTCTAATCTTACCCAAAACTCTGCTTGATTTCTTTCATGTGAGGTAGAACATTCATACTCAATCAATTTAAGCACACAAACAATAGAAGAGAAAATAGCAATAAAGTTATCCAATATTTTAAAATGGGATCTCCAAAGAGTATCACCTGCTTGATTTAATCATCGGCTAATATACCAAAGTAATCTCCNTCACCTGCTTGATTTATTCATCGGCTAATATACCAAAGTAATCTCTATTCAAGTCTTCAATTATAGATTTCAATGTTTCTTTTGCACAAGCATTGACAATATCCTTTTGAATCATAGGACAAGTTAAAGTATCATTTTGTGGAGCATTTTCTAATATTACTTTTCCCACATCCGGATACTTGTCCCCATGCCACCGCAAAAAGCTTAGAAATAAGCCTTGATTTGTTGAATATTCACTTTCGTCATGACCTTGGAAAGGTAATCCATGATGCAAGAGAAGTCTTGCAACATCAATTGAGGCTTCCAAGCGCATTCGGCACTCACTTTTCACCTTCTCTGAATGCTTGTCTAAAACAACTTGAATTGATTGATGATGATTTGACAAATCTAGCATCTTGTTGAAACATTTATTATGGACACTACTAATCTTACCGACATGCAAACGGAACCTTTCAAAAGCCTTATTCCAAGCCCTAAAATCACTTTTTATAAAACATTCACCCGCACTTCCATGAACGCATTCATTTTTGAACAAATAACAACATAGACAATATGCGGCATCGTTTTTCACACTATACTCCAACCATCTTGAAAATGAACTTTTGAACCAACTTGGTTTAAATTGGCGCATTCTCCCTCCTATTGTAGTTTTAGGAAATTGATGATTGGTAGGTTGACAAGGCCCATTTTGAATGTAATATCTCCTCACCTCATCTCGTAATCGAGGGCTATAATTAGCAATGTGTATTCTTTCTCCTGGGTCGGTGCTAAATGATTCTGAGTCAAGCTCGTCGATAAGATGAGAAAGATTGACATTCGCACGAATTTCTGGAGGTATCGCCTGACTCAATAATTGCACACTAGAACTTGGTTGAGAATAATTCATCTTTACGACAAATTTATCCATCTCAATCTTTCCTACAAAACAAATGTTCAATCCAACTCATAATTAATTTAAGGATGTCATATACATTTTTGGTATAAATTTTAATTAAGACTGAAAAAATCTAAACAACAAAATACTTTAAAAACTTATCTGATCATGAAACACATCATCTTAGCATATGTTTACACAAAAATCATGCAAAAGCTAAATAGCTAATACAATCAGAGATTCAAGGGAATAATATGCACAATAACACAATAAACTATAAATTAAAGATTGGAACAGAGAAAAAAAATTAAATCTGAATTGAATAAAAGGAAAACAAGGGAGAGAATGAAAGGGTCAAAGGGGTTTAGTAACTTATAAGTCTGTACTATAATACTATTAAATATTAACTATACCACCAAAAAATTTATTTTCAGGGAAACCCAACATAAAAAAACAAAAAAAAAAACAAAAGAATAAGAGAGATTTACAGTCACATTACAAAGCAGTGGTGCAGCAACAAGGTGAGGTGCAATGAAAAAACACCAAACGGTGGTGGCCAACCGCCGGTGAGTGGCGGACTGAAAAACTGAAAATTCAAGAGTCCCCAAGTTTGGGGCAGCAACACCGTAGATAAGAAGGGTTTTGGGTGGGAAGAGTTTTTGGGGGAAATAAGGGAGCTTTTGTATTTTAATTGATAAAGAAAGCAATAGAAAAGTCAAAAAGTATATAATAAAGTAAAACAAAGAATAAATAAGAGAGAAAACAAGTAAAGTGTCGTACACCTCACATTAATTGTCCAATAGTACACTAATAAAAGTTCCAAAAATTTTATATTTTATGTGTTGCACAGGTTTTCGAACTTCCGCTACTAGAGAGATATTTTCGGGTCTTTACCATTGGCACCCAATGGCTGTTTTGTTCATTAGGGTGCCATTTTATTATATGTACAATATTTCTTCTACAGATATAAATATATACACAAAGTTCCGATCGAGGTCTGCGGGTGTCGGCGCACCCCCTCGACTCTATGTAGATCCGCCTCTGTTAAACCACAATGTACCAATGGTGTAGTGGTAGAATAATATCCTGTCACAGTACAGACTCCGATACGATTCCCAGACGATGCATTTTTTAATTACATAATTAAAAATACCGACCGACTTCGGTCGGTTTTTTCGGCAGTTTTTTCTTTTTTGGTTGCTTGTGAAATTTTATTGATCGACCGACATCGGTCGAAAATTTCAACCGAATTCGGTCGCTATTTATTACCTACCAGCCTAATTTCGACGAATTAAAGTCAGTCGAAAATCGGTCGATTTTTCCAATTTTCCGACCGATTATGGTCGATATTTTCTGGAGGATTTTAGGTAGTTTTCTAGCGATGAAAGTTACATATTATTGTAAATCGTTTAATCGGATAGTGTAAAAGATAAGTACATGAATTAATGTACCTGGAGCAGTCAGTAGAGGGACTGATCTTGTAGGGAATGTTAACGCCACAAGCACTAGGGAGTCCAGCAACTTTACCTATATTAATTCCCGTAATAGCATTAGCAGCTGATTTCAGGCAAGTGCAAGCAGTCTTTCGGTCCACTGGGGTGCGAGCTGCACCCAACAGACCTTTAACGCCGCCACAACAACTCCCCAAAGGGCCGCGGCACTGCAGATAAGGGAGGCAAGGAGCCAGGCCAGACTGAACCTGGCCGCAGCTCAGTGGCCAGTGCCTCTGGATGGGGTTCGACCAGTGGTGGGCCCAAGATTTTGTGCAAGCGGATTCAATCTTAGAAATACATAACTTTAGTCGTAAAATAGTAGTTGTCAAGTGTGTTCAAATAAAATATTTATGCAACTTTAATCGTAATTTATACATATACATAGTATTATTTTTTGACGAAGCAGGTTCAGTTGAACCCGCTTTCCACCATGTGCGTCCGCCATTGGGTTCGACCACCACCATGCAGAGTAGCACAAAGCACGCAATCTTGCCAACCATTTCCATTCTTAAAAAGATAGAGAAGATAAAACAAGAGTGTGTAGTGTGAGGATTCAAAGTAGTACAAATGTTTTTGCTCGAGTGTTGGGTACATAAGCTAGTGAGAACTTTTGGGTATTTATAGAGGAAATTGGAAATAGATTAATGGCCGGCCAATGGAGGATTGAGAGAATTAGTTGGCAGTTGAGTTATATACTTATATTCAACGAGGGTACTTAATTAGGGAGGTGCCGCTGGCTATGTAAAGTCAAATTTAGCTCTTACGTGTTTGACTTTTAATGAACTACGCTAGGATTTAGGCACTCTGGAAATCGACACTTAAAAAAGACCGTGGTCCAAATCCTAGCATTCCTTACTTTTGATTTTGAGTTAATAAATAAGTTTAGAAGATTAGAGCAACTATGCTGTGGCATATATATTTGCTCTGGTTGTAGTGTCCATATCAAAGACAAGTGAGTTTGGTTCTATAACTGCACTAGTGGCAGAAAAAGTATATTTGATTATCATGGCTAATTAGACAAATGAGGACCAACAAAAGAGAATGATTAGTGTGAAGAAAAAGAAAAAAAATAGGTTATCTACTTATCTTGTTGTATACGTCTGTCTTTAGCACTTCAGTAGCTAATTAGGCAATAACGGTTCAGAGATGGAAACCAACATCATTTAGCAGTACACAGAATACGTTATTATTAAACTCAAAATATAACAGTGAAATGAGTTAAGCAATTCAGTAAACGATTTTAGGTGGAGTTTGTATTTTTAGCAGAAGAGTGCTTAATCAATAATGTTTTTGCAAAACAAGTAAACTTTTTATGGAAGGTCAAAATTTTAAAACTTTTTGCAAGAAATTCTTGGAAGCTAAAAATATCCATATGAACAAATTTCGAACCCTCGAATGGCTGTTATAGAATTTAAAATTCTAACCCGTAAAGTTTAAATCCTAGAGTCTGCTTCTCCTGCCTACTCCTACTGATCATCTTATTGTTGATTATGTCTGAATTCACGAGCAGGGCTAGGACTCAAAGAAATAAAGTTTCCAACGAAAAGCTCAAAATGATGCTCTTTGCCAACTTTCTGTATAAAATATTCTGCCCCAACCAATGCATTATATTACTTTCACTTCACTCCAAAAAATAACCCTCTAAAAACTCTCATGTTTCATCATTCTGTTGCACTTACATTTATCCCTCCAATCACTTTGCCTTGCTTCATTTTGCAGTTAAGCTTTTCTCTGCTTCTCCATTGTGAATTAGTGCATATCCATCCTTTCAACATGGGATGGACAAAATCTGCCAAAAGAAAACTCTCTTTTCCCATAATCACAGCCATTATCTGTACTTTAACCTTCATTTTTCTGTTGTACACTGAGAGGATTAGTACTATTTCTTATGGCTCTATTTTGAGGTTTAAGCCTTGTCCCAAAAGAAATTCTGCAGGTGTGCACCAGCTTGTCGATCTCAATTGCTTTCGTTATACTTTTTTGTCGTGCTGATATATTTTTTCTTTCTTGGCTTATTAGATGATAGAGAATTGCAGAGCGATCAACTAGACAATCCAACAGACGAGAGTCTTGATTTTGATCCTGATGAATGCAGTGTCACACATGGGAAATGGGTTTTTAATACTTCAATTAAGCCATTGTATTCAGACATGACTTGTCCTTTTATTGATAAACAATATTCTTGTATTAAGAATGGCCGAAACGATTCAGATTATCGATACTGGGAATGGCAGCCTGATGNTTTTTAATACTTCAATCAAGCCATTGTATTTAGACAGGACTTGTCCTTATATTGATAAACAATATTCTTGTATTAAGAATGGCCGAAACGATTCAAATTATCGATACTGGGAATGGCAGCCTGATAACTGCATGTTGCCAAGGTTAGCAAGTTACTTAAAATATCAATTTCAGTTTTCTGTTTCTGTAAGTAAATTACCATATTGCAAAATGAAAGAAATAGTAGGATTCTTGATTCTTGTTTCAACACGGTCCAGAAGCATGCATACTTGCACAAGTGAACTCAGGATTTAAAGTCAGTGGGTTCAGAATGAGTGTGATCTTATTATGTGTTACATTTAAAACTTATTTTTTTTTCTGTATGTATACATAATTCGAGCTAAAAGCAATCAGTTCAGTTAAAGCAACATGGGTCGCCCTAGATCTGCCTCTGCTTAATGATGAAAGGTAGTTTTGTGAAATTATCAATATTCAGGTTTGATCCTGAGATTGCCCTCAGAAAGCTTCGAGGAAAGAGACTAATGTTTGCAGGGGATTCACTACAGAGAAATCAATGGGAGTCTTTTGTGTGTTTGATTGAATCTGTAATCCCAAAAGGCAAGAAATCCATGAAACGTGGCCGCGTTCACTCTGTATTCAAAGCTAAGGTAAATCACCATATAACTCAAACTATATATAAACCTTGTATGTTTGAAGAATTAGCTTGAAAGTTTGAAAATCTGCTTAATTTGGCAGGAATATGATGCTACAATTGAGTTCTATTGGGCTCCATTCTTGGTCGAGTCTAACACAGATATTCCTATCAAAAGTGATCCAAAGCAGAGAATAATTAAAGTGGACTCAATTGCCCAACGTGCCAAGCATTGGTTAGGAGCAGACATCCTTGTTTTCAATACTTATGTTTGGTGGATGAGCGGACTCAAGACCAAGGCACTGTAAGTTCTTCAATTATAACAGCGGAGCCAGAAATTTTAATAAGAAGATTCAAAAAAATATTGAGTTGAACATGCAACCTAAATCATTTTTTGAGCTACCCTACCACTAAACTAAAAGTTTCCATTGCTGCAAGTGAATTCAACAATTTTTTATATATATAAAAGAAAATCTTTTCACTTAAATGCACAGTATAAGTTTTCGAAGAAAATGGATTAAATTGAATCCTTCAGACCATGTAGCGCTCGTCTCTGTATAGAAGAATTTCTACATGGCTTTGCATATAACGCTTTTAAATTGATCAAAAAATACAGATGGGGCGAATTCGAAAATGGAGAAGAAGGTTATGAAGAATTAGATACAACAGTTTCTTATAGAGTAGCATTAAGAACATGGGCAAATTGGATTGATTCAACAGTTGATCCTAAAAAAACACGAGTCTTTTTCACTACTATGTCTCCTTCACACCAAAAGTAAGTTATCATAGCAAACAAACATAGTTATTTTCTAGTGGAACATAAACTAACTCAAGCATTTTTATACATATTTTCAGAAACAAAGAATGGGGGAACATAAATGGGATCAGGTGCTACAATGAGACAAGACCAGTAATGAAGAAGGGACACTGGGGAACTGGTTCAAACAAAGAGATGATGAATGTTGTGGCCAATGTCATGGGAAGAATGAAAGTTCCTGTTACTGTTTTGAATATCACACAATTATCTGAGTATAGAATTGATGCACATACATCAATATATGGTGAATTGCGAGGCAAATTGTTAACAGCTGAGCAAAGAGCTAATCCTTTACATTTTGCGGATTGCATACATTGGTGTTTGCCTGGAGTTCCTGATACTTGGAATCAGTTACTTTTTGCATATTTGTAGCCCCAAATTATAATGCTAAACAGACCGAAAATGATTCTTTGTAAAGTTTTTCACCCCATAAACCAACAACACATGCAAATTACATGCAAGTATGTAACCACGCTGGTTGAACTATGTAAAGTGAATCAATTGCCAGAGTGATTTCTTCCATAATTAACTTTATAATATGGATGTTTGGAGTTGTATTGTCTCAATTTGGCTTAATAAAGACATTCCAAGTTACTTACCTAGACTTGGATTGAGATGAGCTTAAATGGAGCGACATGGACTGTGAGGATACATATTGTTAATGGCCTAACACCAACTCAATTGGGATCTAGTGTTTTTGCATGTAGTTTATTGTTTGGGTCGATATGATGATTAACATATATATATATGGTTCACAAGGAGAAAGGGTTTTGTTGAAATATTGAATCTTAGCTTGAAAGCTTATGAAGAGTACCATATGGAGTGTAAAATTTAATTAGAATAGAATGGGATATTGTTTTTATATATCGATAATGAAAGATTTGTACATTATTAATATAATCTAGGGTGAATGACATAGTTACCCACAAAAATAAAACTATTTACCCTTATCTACCCATTTATTTTTCTACCCATCAAACTAATTACATTTCCTACCCTTTTGTGGGGAATTTTCTCCAATTCTTGTTTTATTTCTATGCTTCTTTTCTTTTTTCCTTTTTTTCTTTCTTTTCTCCTTTTCTTTTTTTCTCGTTTTCTTCTTATTTATTTTTCTCTTTTATTCATTTATTTTTGCTCAAATCATATTATTGTTATTTTTACCATAACTTATTTCACACTCAAATTTGACTTCTTCTTTATTTTTATTTTTTTATATTTATTTTCTTTATTTTTTGTTCCTTTTCTAATTCCACGTGATTGCCATGTAAACCTTGATCTCCTTCCCTACAAATATCAGTACACACTCTACCATTAACAGTAACACAACCTGTTATGGAGCAAGAAAACATAATCTACGGCCACCAAATCTCCATATATACTAGTTAGAATAGAAATGATAATAAAATATTGGAAAATGCAATAAAAATATAAGTAGCAAAAAAGACTTCTAGTACCATATGATACCAATATAGTATACGTGTATAACAACAAAGTATATGATTGCTCTAGAATATTGCTACAACTATCTGCGACTATACTACTGTACCAAAACATTAAAGGATGCAATAAAAGTATGAGAAAATTACATGCTCGCATTGCAAGCAAAATATTCACAAAACAACTCGCTCATTGCGTATACTAACATGATATATAGTTGTATGGGGTCGTTCCAACAATTGCCTATAACTATAAAAACTATTACACAGTACACATAATCTATGTCCATCGAAACAAAAAAATTCAAGCACTGCAAATCACGTTCATATAAATAATTTTAGAATATAATTCACTTAAAAATGCAGCTAAAACAACCAAAAAAATGCTCAAACTACCATATGATACCAATATGGCATATAACTATACCAACATGGTATACAGTTTTACTGGTTAATTCCCGGCAACTATATGACTATACTACTATTACATAACACACATTCATAAACAGAAAAATAAAAAAATAGTGTACCACATATTAATATAATAAAGTATTTCAAGATATTGTACTATATTACTATTATTAAAAGGAAATCAAATAGTGTACCAATTAAATGCATGTAATACAACCAAAAAGTGATTCAACTAGCATATGATACAAATATTGCATATAGCTATACTAATAGGGTATATAGTTGTACATGGTCGTTCCAACAACTGCATATAAATATAAAAACTATAGCATAATACACAAAATCTATGTCCATAGGTACAAGAAAATACAACACAATAAAACATGAACATATAAATCATTTTAGAATAGAATTCACTTAAAAATACAGCTAAAACAACCAAAAATTATTCCAACTACCATATGATACCAATATGACATATAATTATACCAATAGGATATACACTTCTACTAATTAATTTCAAGCAACTATATATGGTTATACTACTATTACATAATACACATGCATAAAGAGAAAAATTAAAAAATAGTGTACCCATATTAATATAATAATATATTTCAAGATATTATATTATAATACTATTATATAAAATAAATGCATAAAGAAACAATCAAAATGATTACATAATACACATGCATAAAGGTAAATTTAAAAAATTCAAGATATTGTACTATTCTACTATTACTAAAGAAAAATCAAATAGTGTACTAATAAAATGTAGCTAATACAAACAAAAAATATTCCAACTAACATATGATACCAGTATAGTATATAGCTATACGAACAGGGTATACAATTGTACGTGAAGAGATTATTTTTTTTTAAAATTTAATTATTAAACTGAAATAATATCATTTGTCAATAAAAATTTCAAACAAATTCTAAAAGGATCTAATTATAAGAGTATACCATTACATTATATAGTATACTATAATAGTATATCATTGGAATGAACTGTATACCAAAATAGTATATAGTATATCATTTTGGTATACAGTACAGATTCTTCTTCGCTAGTTCAATACAATAAGTTATACACTATTGAATTAAGTATTATATAACAAAATAGTTTATAATATGTTATTTTGGTATATAATGGATTGGTTCATTCCTTCAAAAAAAAAAGTAGTATACTATTGTAATTAATTATATACTCTTGAATTAATTATTGTATACCAATACGATATACAATATAACATTTTGGTATACAGTACAAATCTATCTTCTTTGCTAGGTCAACTCAATTTCAACCCAAATTTTAAATATCTACTTTAAAATCTCCACCAAATTGACTTAAACTTTAGCCACAAACCTCCAATCCAATATTTCAAACTAAATATTTTGTTCTAAGAAAAAAATTGAAACAATATGAGAACTTCGTTGAAAAGTTGAAAAAGAACTCAACGAAAAATTTCAAAAAATTCTCAACGGACCAAATTATAATAGTATACTGTTACATTATATAGTATACTATAACAATATATCGTTGGAATGAACAAGATACCAAAATGATATATAGTATATCATTTTGGTATACAATACAAATTCTTATTCGCGAGTTCAACGCAATAAATTAATTATAAATGAGTGAATCAATTATTATATACCAAAATGGTATATGGTATAACATTTTGGTATACAGTACAAATTCATAATCTTCACTAGTTCAACTCAATTTTAATCTAAAAATTTATCTCCAAATTTTTTATCAAATTTACTCAAAATTTTTCCACAACCTCGAATCAACTTTTCAATCACACTCTAGTCACCATCGAATCGAAATAACTACAAACTCAACAAACACTCTTTATGAGTTTCAAGCTTTAAGTTCCTTCAATGGTGGACTAGATTTTCTTAGAATAAATCTCCAAAAATTAGCATTGGCACCATAATCTATTATCAATTAACAACACCCAACAATTTCAACAACAAAATACTTCAAACAAACACATATCTTGTCACAATACTGCCAAATTTGTACTAATAATTTTGTCGCTTTGGAAAATGAATTAGATGGTAAAACTCCAAAGTGCAGTAGATTAAGGCGCATATGACCAAAACATACCACAAAGAGCGTCGGCAATCAAAATTTGTGATTACATGTACAGCCTCACAATTTTGTAGCAAATTGAAACCTTAAAAAATTTTAACCTTTTTTTATAGATCTTTGTTTTCCTTTTTTTTTTTCCTGGGATAGATGATTAAGATATGAGAGGGAGGTAGATAGATCAAATATCCCATGAAAAGATGTAGGGTATTGGCAACACCGGAAAGGAAAGAAAGAGAAAGAGCGGAGAAAAGAATAAGAGAAGAAAGAGAACGTGAGGAGAAAAGTTAATTAGCTTTAACAAGAACAAAATAGGAAGAAGGATTAATGGCTAATTATTTTTGGTTGCATAGGTACATATTGTAATTATTTTAAGAATAGGTAAAGGCGGGTAATTTATTTGGGTAGAATAGGTATATAGCATAATTTGCTCTATAATCTAAGTGGTCAAGTTTTATACATCAATGGTACAAGAAAGTATTTACCATCAGTAACATTTTACTAGTGAATAATATCTAAATAACATCTCTTAGAATGATTATGTGTGCACTTGAGCCCGAAGACAGAGACAACTCAGATGAATCAAGACTCGAAGCCCATATCTGAACAACCATAAAGAGTTCATCTTTGCCCCACAACCAAAAAGAGTTCATCTTCTCTCCTGTTGAACAACTTCCTGAGGTATCTCGAATCTCGAGATCCTAATTTAGATGATACCTTATTTCCCAAGTAACAATCTCATCGTACCTCGTCCATACGTTTGACCTGTTCATCCTTTCAAGGGCAACCCAAATCTCAGGCCAATTCCAGATTCAAGCTATACTTCTTTTCCTCTTTTTCTTTTTTGTTTTTGTTTTGTGATCCTTATAGCATTGACCTCAGTATCTTAGGAGACTTTGTTGCAACTTTTCTTTTGAAATAACTTTTTTCCATAACACTTTATAATATGCACATAAATCAAACTACTATCTTTAAACTTGTGTTGACTCAAATAAGGTTGTACTATGAAATTGAACTAAAAGAATAATAATCTTTATTTAAATAATAATGGAGACTGAATATGTACCTAGTAATTAGAGTCGCCAGTGTGAAGACTCATATTGACACACATGTTAGGGAGGATAGCCCCCTTGGTCGAGAATCTCGAGATGATTATAAATTTTGACAGCAGTCTTTACGCAGCACCAGACTTTTCAGCAATCTTAAAACATATACTCCATATTACTTAAGAGGATACACGAACCACAAGCAAATTAATTTTAGCTTTGGTGACTTTTTCATTTTATTTTTTTATTTTGATATTTTGACTCTGACTCTGTGGCACTGAGGGGCAAGCCATGTGACATCCATCTTATTAAATGTCAGAGTCACTATCACGTAGAATTAAATATTCACTTTGGACAAACTAAACGGAAAAAGGGTATTGTTTACCCTTAAAATTGGATAACAATTAAACTTATAATGTGGTTCTAAGGACACGTGATTTCACTTAATACCAATTGATAAATATGAAGATTAATAACATAAATGAACTATAAAGTAAAGCAAACCAGTGTTAGAATGGAACTCAACCCTCGAGTTTG